CTATTAATAATGTGATTAATTAATATTGTTAATAATAAGCATTAAGTTATTTACCGTATCTTAAATAAAAGCTTTTATTTTTGTGTAACTTATGTATATATGAATGTTTTCGAATATAAACTTATAATGATCGATTTTTAAACAAGATAAATTAGTACTTGAAATTAACATTAATATAAATTATTGATGTTAATCTTATCAAATAAATATTTCTATTTTTAATTTCATATTTGGTTTTTAATGACATTTAAATTTAATTCAATATATTATTTCAAATATTTGAACGTAAGATACATGGTAATAGAAAGTACAAACGAGGCAAATTAGATTCAAGAATGTCTATCTATATTTTATTAGCTTATGAAACTAATAAATTATAAAAAGCTAATAAATTATAGAATTAATAAACATAAATTATCAATATAAATATTTAGTGATGAAAATAATTCAGATCTATCCCTAATTTTTTTATTAATTTTTTTTATCTTTTTTATTAGAAAAAAGAACATAATTTGTATTACCTTCCTAATGGATAAAATTACTTTTCTTGATTTTTAGATTTTTAATTTTGTTACAATATAAATTTATTTCACCATATTAATAGATACTACATATATCGATATGAATTATGATTTTTAAAATATATAATATTTTTTAAATTTAATAGATAAATTTAATATTTTTTACTGTATGAATATTTTTTTTTTCAAAAAAAACTATTAGAATTGCCAAACGCATGAAAATCTAGAAGATATTCATTAACAATTCAAAAGATATCTGCAATTAATCTGAAATATTTAGAATGTCATTGTCAATATTAGAATCATTTCTAGGACTATCTATGATATTACTTGATCTACTGAACAAAATTTTAAGAATTAAAATAATTATTATATATTATTAAAATAATTTTAAGAATTAAACCATTACATATTTTGCATATTTTGCATATTGTTACCTTAAAAACGATAAATATTTCAATCTTCTATTAATACTTTCTATTATATTCAAAGTATATATATTTATTATTTGCAATTAATAAAATCCTAAAAATCCTTTGAAAAAAATACAGGTTTGAAAATAGACATATTGACCAAAAACACATACAGTACAAATAAAATCATGACACCATATCATTGAACAAAAGAAGAGAAATGCTCTTCCTGTCTCTCTACTGTGAAACTTTTTGTTAATTGCGAACAGCATAATTGCGAATAGCATTCATTTACAAGAATATATTTATAAATATATTTATAATATGATTTTATTCACAAAAATGTAATTTACGGCGAATGTAAATTATGTTTCTAAAATTTCTTAAAATTTTTATACTAAAGCTGAGAATGAAAAGTATATATATATATATTAATATAGTTAATATATATATACTAACATATATCAATATATATTAATATATATTATATATTAATATATATTATATATTATTATATATTATATATTATTATATATTATATATTATTATTATTATATATTATTATTATATATTATTATATATTATATAATATATATATAATTATATATATTAATATATTAATATAATATTAATATAGTTAACATAATTTTTAATTTCCCATTGTGATCAATATAATGTTTACCGAATCCTTATTTTTTTGTATGTGTATATGCTATATTGACCTATATTTTCTACGATTCGATACTTAATTAGATATTTAAAAAAATAATGTTTATTCTTTTATGAATTCATAACGAATTCAGTAACGATTTTTTTTTTTTAGAATTCCAATTATTATTTTATTTTTTTACTATTTCTTTTCATAATAAATAAAAGTTTAAATTTTTCTTTTTGTATTTTATTTTATTATATTTTTATTTTATTTTATTATATAAAATCGATTTAACATTTCCATGGATTTTACATTCGTATATACTATGGAATTTATATCTCAAAAGCTATAAAACTCAAAAACATTTTTTTAAAAAATTTATTCTACGAGTAATACATCTAAAATTATTTCGAAAAAAAAATAAAAAAAAATAAATAAATAAAATAAAATAAAATCAATTAAAATTTTGAAAACATTTTCACAAGTTATATAATTATTATAATACAGAAATAAATATTATATAATTATTTATAAGCATATAATATAAATAATAATATTTGATTAATAGTGAATGAAAACACTGAATGAGAATTCATTTCAACATTGACAGAACAAAAAATAATACTAAGATGATCGGACATTCGCTTATCTTGCCTAAAAACATAACCATATGGTTGGTTTCGAAAAGAGAAATATATGGAATGTGTATAAATACTTATGCACATTGAAAAACCAGATCTTGCGAGAAAAAATAGCGGAGATAAAAATAAATCGAGGATAATTTTAAAACTTAAATAATAGTTCTGTGTGTGAATTTGAAAAAAACCTTGACGCGTTCTTCAGTATGTACTCCAGGATAGCGATAGAATCGATCGAAACAATTGCCTTCTTACATTAAGTTGACCTCTTACATTAAGATAGAAAATAGGCCTTTAAGATCATTGAAATTATTGACATATATTAGTCATAGTATTAAATTAATTTTTTAAGATTCTATTTATCTATTTCTTTATTATATATTATAAATTAGATATAAATAAATTAAAAAACAAGATTTTATGATATAATATGATTTTAATATTAAATTAAATTATAAATAAATAAAATTAATTTGTATATAAATAATAAAGAATGAGAAATTAATAAAAAATGTCTATTTTTTTTTATTTTATATATTTTTTATATAAAATGAATTTTATTGCTAGCAAATAAAACTATAGAATCTTAAATCATTAAAAATTATAAAGTAAAAATGTCCATATGAGATGATTTTAATCATTTGATATATATTAGTTAAAAAAAATTATGCTTAAATGAGAATTTTTTACGTTTTACATTCTATATAGTAGTATCTATAGCATATCTATATATAATGAATGAATATTATGAATTGAAATATATTAAAAAATATTACTAATAAATATTCGTTATATAAAAATTTTATAATCTAATTCTAAATATAATAATATATTCATTATATTTAATATATTATATCTAACATATGCAGAAAATATATACGAGATATGTACAACGTAAATAATATGCAGCATGCAAAAAATATACAAAATTAAATATATTTCTTTAGAATCCTCAAATGAAAAAACAATTTTTATTTCATTTTTCATTTTTTAAATTATTTTTTATAAAAATATAAATATTTGCAATCTATTATTATGAATATAATTATAATTTTAATATTATAGTTATAATAATAATTTTAATATTAATTAAAAAATATATATATATAATAATATAATTTAATATTTCTTATCCATATATTTCTATTTTATACAATATAAATAGTTTAAATTTTTAAATGATTTATGAATGTTTGTAATTATGATTATAAAAATCAATTAATTAATTCGTATTATAACTCTAATTATGAAATTTATTCAATAAAAAATAATAAGAATAAAATATTCTGCTTTTTTTTTTTACTAAAATTTAATTTTCATTGCTCAATGAAATTTTTAATTTTTAATTGTAGATTTAAAATTATATTTATTATTTAAAGGAATGAATAAAATATTTAATGACGGAGAAAAATAATTTTTAATTGATTTTTAAATTACTATTTCAAGAAAAAAACAAATTGTCAAACATCTGTTTATGAAATTATTTTTGATGATGTGTTTTAAAAAAAAAATATTAAAAAATGGCAAATTTTCTTGATTAAATTACATGAGAAAAAAAAATAAAATTAGTTTGTTCAAGAATTTCAAGTATCGGATTAGTCCCATCGCTACACTGTTAAGGTAAGGCCAGGCGCACGCCCATCTAAACGTCCAATCACTAACCGCGACGTCATCTCGTACGATGTAACGGAGAGACTCACCCACGTGGTAAGCATCGTGTTATTTTAGTATCGCATCGCGAGAAAATCTACCGATTACGTTCTTGTTCTCAAACGATCATTCTAGAATCTCATGACTAATCTTTTTACAATCGTGACACAATCGTGATGATTTTTTCACCTTATTAGAAATGACATTTTTTTTTCCACATCAATTTTAATAATATTTCATTCAAAATTAATGCTAATGAATAACAAAGCTATTACAACTGCGCAATGTATGGCGAGGTTAGTTTTTAACATGTTGCAATTGAATCTAGCATTTCATTTAATTGATCAATTAAACATTATTTAAAAAAACAAAATTATATCTTACTTCCAACAATATTTTTCTCTGTTTATATTTTTCATTAATTATGATATTTTTAATGATTTTTAAGAAATTCGATATTAATATGACGAAAACATTGATGAATGAAATATATTGCTATAATTGATATAATAAAAATTTAAAATTAAAACTGTAAATTGAACTATTTATGCGGTTAATAAATTGTACGTCAGATAAATTTGACTGATGAATGAAATGGATACAGCGAATATTGCGTAGGTCAGTTAATCATTTAGATATCGAGACGCTGTGAAACATGTAAACAAATTTAGAATTTATGTAAGAATTCATAAAAAAATAAGAATTTTCATGATATATCATAGGCAACTATTAAAATTACAATTACGAAACACATCGAGTAGAATGAAAATATCTAAAGATAGAACATTCACGCGACCTTTAATGCATTCTTCTAGTATTTCATTTCTTCAAATTAACATATTTGAAAATTAAATTGTAACTTCCACGATATTCTCTTTGATACAACGAAAATTGCATCAACATCACTTTTAACGTGCTACACTACGTTAGCCGTTAGAAAACAAAATTTTTCAAATACAAATACATACACCTTTCCTTGAAATATCACATTCAACAAATCGAGTTTGATTGTCTGATTCAAACTTTGTTGACTGAAAATCAAATAACCTTGACATCTTCGAGACCACTCGAAAAATTCACGAGATGAAAAATAAATAAAAGATATACACATATAATAATTACTCACATGAATAAAATGTAGTAACAATCAGGGCTAACCAGGATAGTTGTTTCTCCATAACTTTTCTCATTTCTAAACTATCTTGATGACAATGGTTTCACAAATTTAATCTTTTAGATTCACTAGTGAAATTTGTGATGTATAGAAAAATTTAAAAGACTCTTTCGCACACCGACAAATCTTATCAAAGCTTTAACATACGTCGCTTTGGAACTTTATTTTTTTGAAAAGAACGCGCCACATGCACGTTTAATTTCTCTAACACGTAAACGTTATTCTTAACTCACGAAGATTATCATACAATACATACGATCCGTACTTCGCAACCGGCTGTGCACGACTAACTCATGGAAATGCATTTTGGCGGCATAAAGCTTTGAAGGCATGCCAAGTGCGCATGCGCGGATCGCTCACGCCACCAGACTTGGTGGGGTATTGAAACTTCTTTCTCTTTCACTATGACTCTCCGATATTTTCTCCGTTACGCTGTTTTGTCAAAGTATGCTGATGTCGATATCATTACAGCTTTCGTTTCGAGCAAGATCATTAATTGAAAACCTTCCCGATATGACGACGGAATAAGACCTTGTATTACCACGAGGAATTTAATTAAGAACGTGCTTTCATTGTTGATAGACAATAATAACGGATAATTAGCGGATTTAGTGGAATACTTACACAATCTACCTGCAAATGCAATCTCTGATCTTGATGATATGATCTTTTGCATTTCGTGAAATGTTACAACGACAAGCATTGATTTCAATAAAATTTTAATTATGTTTAAATTTTTTTAATTGAAAATAATAGTTCCATTATGACATTCCATAATTCCAATTATGAGTCTCCTTAGAAAATTATCTAAAAATTAATTATCAATTTTTTATATGTTTAAAGTTATATAATTTCATTTAAAATGAATCAAAATATAAATAAAGAAAAGTAAAGTGAAATAGAATATTAACAATAAGAATATTTATTCTACTAAAAAAAAAAAATTCATTGAATGTCTTGAATAAATCTTTCTGTTTATATAACTATTAGAAAATAAAATTTCTTTAAAAAAAAATAAAAAGAAATATTTTTAGTATATAAATACAAATAATATTTTTTAAATATCAAAGTATATATAAGTATATATAAGTATATATAAGTATAAATATCAAGTATCCTATTTTGTTTCATAGATGCAATTATATAATCTTAATTTTCTTATTATTATATATCAGATCATAAATTTTTATTAGATTCTATCTATCTTATATTAGATATTTATCATTTTTCTTGTATATTATTGTTTTTTATTTATTCAATGATATTTTTTTGTACAAAAATGAATTATCGAATATTTTTGCAAATTAATAATGTATTATTTTTCATTTTTCAATGTTCAGATAATAAATTAGCATCATTTTTAATATATAATAAATAAACAAATTTTTAATATTATATGTATATTATATGTAATATTATATGTAATATACTTTTATAACATTTTACATAAATAAAAATGAAATGAGAAATGAAAAATTTGCTAATTTTTCATCTGAATATTACAGAATAAAAAATAAAAAAAATATATATATATTTTTTTAATTTGTAAAAATTCCAACATGTTACAAATATATATTATCAAACTAATGAATTTTATATCGTTATATGTAATAAATTGAAGCATCAAAGTTAAAAAATAAATAAATATAAAACATATTAAGGAGAAATAAATTTGTCTAAAACAGAAATAAAACCATTATTAAAAACTATTTATTATTAATAAAATAATTTTTAATATAACATAAAAGTGTTTAAATTGTAGAAAAATATGTATCTGAAATACAATATTTAAGTTTTATAAAAAATTACAATATCTTTTAATTTAAATTTGTTATAAGTATTCGAATACTTTATTGATATTAAATTTCATTTTTATTTTATTATTTATTATAAATAAAATTATATGCATTATAATATATAAAATTTATGTTTCTATTAATTGTAATGACTACCTTAACATATTAAAAGATGATCAATTCAATTAAATTTTAATAAACAAATATACGCATGTAATTATCTTTTAAAAACTATCAAATATTAGTTTGAATTACCGTATATATAGATGTACTTTTGAAATGTGTTCTCGTCGTTACCGTTAATGGTACTGACATCATATTGTTATATCACAATAAGGAAGAAATTTGTTTGACAGAGAAACAGTCTTCGAATCTTTTACAATGTTTTATTCTTTTTCCTGTAATATAGAAAAAGCTTATTATACAAATAAAAATTATTTTTATTTACCATGAATAATGTCAATTCAATATGTTTTATATATTGGCAAAACTTTTAGAGAAAAAAGAATAGTGAAAGTTTGATTTATCTTTTGGAATCTGAAATTGTCGGCAGAATATTATAATGAAAAGGAAAAGTGTGACTTTTTATTTGTGAATTTTTTTGAAATTCCAGAAATTCTTTGAAATTTTAAAATTTTTGAATTGACAGATCATCCGTACAGAGAGAAAATCAATTTTAAATGGGTGACAGATATTAGTATTGCCTGTAGAACATTTGTAGCGAGAATCGTTTGGGAGAAATGTTCTGAATTCTAACTGAATTAAAGCAGTTATTATATTACATATGAGGTGTGAATGATCTGAATATTCAAGTATAGTTGCAATTACAGTAATTAGAGTTTGCAAGATTGTACAAAAATATTCTGTTCGAGAGATATTTTTAATGTTTAAGGCTATTTGCGTTACGTTGATAAATTCATTAGAATTAAAAGAAAAAATAGCGTATATTTTGATTATTTAAAATTTTAAAAGTAAAATTTTAGAAATCAAAAATTAGAAGAATTTCAAGTTGTGAATTATCTTCGTTTAAGAGAAAATACAAATAAATGCATGATGCAACCGGCTTGTAGAATAATTTTAATTTAATTTTGGAAATGGTTTTTATAATAAGATAGTAAGATTATAATTAATATCTCGATAATTCGAATCTTAAAAAAAGAATCGAAATCTTCATAATGTTTCGTTTTATATAAATGATTAGTGATAGTAATTATTATAGTAATTATTTTTTTATACAATTAAAAATATAGTATTCCTGAACAATTTTAATGATTTTGAAATATATCATTAAGATCATCATTTTAAATATTATTTTGAAATCAAATTATTTTAAAATTTTTATTCCAAATAATTATTGTATTTCTTTGTGTATCATATTTATATATTTTTTTTAATTATTTATGTTATAATTATTGTATATATTACATATATATTCCTTGTTATTTATAAAAATGAATGTGTTAACATCAATCAAAATTTTTCTGACATTTTTATGACTTTGTTAAAGCACTCAATTAATTAATCAATTTTTCAACGAAACCCAATCTTCTATTTCTAATTTTAAAAGTCGAAGTTGATTCTTTATCAAACTTCCTTTATTTTTTTCTTGTTGTTATTTTCTTATACTTCTTACTTTTATACTCTACTTTATACTTCTTTATATTACTTTTTTTGTTGTTTGATATTCGTGAAAATTTATTTTGAACAATTGGTTTTTTATCGATTGTTTTATTTATTGATACCATTTGATTGTTTGTAAATTGTAATAATTTTTCTGTCAATTTTTTCATTGAATTGATTCGTTGATGATGATTCATACGAGAGATTAAAGAATACGGAGATGTATCGATCTCTATATAACGTTGAACGTGTAAATGACTGTGTAAACATATCGATTCCATTTTATTCTGTAATGTTAAATTGTGTCTTCGAATAAATTTAACATGGTATGTATTATTTTGAGAAACTGATTCAATTTAAAATGATAATGTTTATCTTAGTTCAAATCAATATATATATATATATATATATATATAATTGACATGATATGATTTGTGAAATTTATTTCTTGGTCAATTAGAATAATTTTAATAAATAGTATCATATTTGAAAATTCAGAGTTGCTTAAGAATACTATTATATTGTATTAATACTTTGTTTTTTAAAAATATTATTTCTTATTTATAAATTATATCATTAAAATGTAATTCTCTAATGTAATTCTCTTTTGGATTTAATGAATCAATAATCGCAATATTATTGTATTGGATTCAAGAAAGGCTTCGACATGTCTTTTTTGAGTGAAATAATTAGATTAGATAATTAGTCCTTTTTTTATAGATATCTTGTAAATTTCATTGTTATTATTTTCAAAACTGATAAAGCTACACGTTTTATAAATTAATGTTGACAAACAAATGTTGACCTAATTAACCTAATTTTCTGATATAGAAACTGATATATATAGATTATTAAGATCAATCAAATAATACAATTTTAATATGGAATCCTTTATTTCCTATTTATTTTATTTTTTTAACATATTAAATATTTATTTATATATAGTTTATCTCGATGCAATTATAAATTGGTTGAATTCTACTATTTCTATAATTTCTGTCTTTTCTGCATCATTTTCAAATGTCTTAGATTTTTGAATTTAACAAAATCTAGAAAAATAAAGGATTTCTAATATATTAATGTATATAATGTAACTTATTATTACATGTATTATTATATGTATTAACTTTGTATTAACTGCTTTAGTTTCAATAATTGTTTCAGAGATTATCATTAAATTATTTAATTTATATATAATTTAAAGTAATTATTATGACTGCATAATTTAATCGCGATATTGTCGGATATTGAAAAGTTTTTTGTTGAAAGTTGTGGATTTCAAGATCATTTTCTTTTATTTTTCAAATTAGAATGAGCAATCATCGCTTGTAACCTTAAAACTTATCGCGATAGCATTCGATTTGTTGGCGAAAACAACGAACTTCCGTAGTGCTTTCTTTTCTTTATTAATAGTCGTAGAAAATTACACGCCATTCCTCTTATATAACTGTGTGAGATTTTACGATGTAAGGATATTGGTGGTCAGTTAAAATCTCGAAATGACGTTTATATAAGTAAAATCTAAATAATATAAGTAAATCTAAAATGTTTAATCTTACAAACAATAATTAAAGTTTCTTTGCCTTTAATAGAGTAATTGAATTTCGCAGAATTTGAATTTCTATTAGAGTAGCTGATAAATCTCTCAAAACTTTGTCATCGAATTTTCGAGCAAGTATCTTAGATTCTTCTACCAATAATGTCTATTGTTAATATAAATTTTTAGATAAATTCCGGATATATTAACTTTTAACAGTTTGTTCTTCAATTATTAATAAGAAGCTCTTCGCTTAGTCTCCATTGTAAATTTTTTTTTTTAACA